GTGTCAAAGGCCTTACTAAAGTTCAGGTAGACAACATCCACAGCCTTCCCCTCATCCACACAGTGGGCCACCTTGTCATAGAAGGAGATCAGGTTAGTGAAACAGGATCTCCCTTTCATAAACCCATGCTGGCTGGGCCCAATCCCTCAGTTGTCCCACACATCCCGCGTAATGGCACTCAAGATGATCTGCTCCATGACCTTCCCCGGCACCGAGGTCAGGCTGACAGGCCTGTAGTTCCCCAGATCCTCCTTCCGACCCTTCTTGTAGATGGGTGTCACATTAGCTAACTTCCAGTCATCTGGGACCTCCCGGGTTGACCAGGACTGCTGATAAATGATGGAGAGTGGCTTGGCCAGCTCCTCTGCCAGCTCCCTCAGTATCCTCGGGTGGATCCCATCTGGCCCCATGGACTTGTGGGCATTCAGGTGGAGGAGCAGGTCAGTGACTTCCACCTCTTCGACAACTGGGGCTTCATTCTGCATCCTATCTCCATCTCCCAGCTCAGGGGCATGAAAACCCCAAGGATTACCAGTCTGAATGGAGATGATTTGCCTTTATGGATAGTCTGCCCTGTGCTGTTGAATCCTGTACTTGGTGAAACTTGTATTCTGATGGTAGGTGTGTATGACTTGGTCCAGAATGAAGAATCCCTTCTTATCAGTGAAATGACCCTGAAACCATAGAGAAATGCTGGGGGAAAAAAAAAGAGAGGCAATCACAGAAGTACAAGATTGGTTTTAATTGACTATTCAACCTGAATTCAGTCAGAAGCATGGTAAGATACAGGTCACGTTTACAGATTGCCTGTTGTGAGACATGCTGTAACAGCTTCTTCATGTGTTTGAGAACATGTTTTAGGGGTGTGTGCATATATGCTATGTGTTTCATAAAACCTTTAAAAAGCTTTTTCAGTAACGATTTTGCCTCTGTAGTAAGTCATGCATTATATTTTTGTTGGATTTTGTTAAATATTTTAGCTGTGAGGGGAGAAGTTAGTGGTGTAGTCATTGGTAATTAGTAAACAAAACAAATAGTAAAAAGAAAAACTGAAGAGAAAAGAATGCATAGCTAGCTAGCTACAAGGTAATTAAGCCATGGAAGAGAGGAGGAAGTGACTATAATTTAGAGGACATGCAGAAAAACGGAGGTGTGTCCTTGTCTGTTTCTCTATTTGCCAGCAAGTCATTGACTGTAGGCAACATATAATGTACAAGGTGATCCTGACTGTATGAAGGGTTAAGTAAAACTTAGTAGTTTGGTGCACCATAGATAGGCAAGGGGAAGTTTCAGGGTCTGGATCAAAGTACCTGTTGAAGATGGTAGGGTTCCATTTATTTTGGGAGCTGTCCAGAATTTGTATAAAAGCATACCCATAATGACAGACTGAAGAGTATTTGAGACCATGCAATGAAATGTGATACCCAGATGAGATTTCAGAATAAGAGTCCTTTTAAACGGATACATTTATATTTTTATATGTGCAACCAATCAGCTAGAGTTTTAAACTGTATTATAGGTCCTTGAACAAAATTTCTTTTCAAACAGCACTGGTAATTTAAGTTTTAAGTTGTACCAGCTATTGAATTGTGGAAGTTGTCAGGATTATTCATTTTTGTACAAAGAGCAGGAAAGTACTGTGCATTTCAGTAGGTGACACGGCATGCATATAGTAAATATAGATCTCACAGGGTTTTTTTCTGCTAGTGGTTTGCATTATGTTATTATTCATACGCTTATATGCTGCATACTACTAGGTTATATGCTAGTTTATATGCTGCAACAGTGTACAATAGAGAATGATTTTACCACTTATTTTCTTACCAGAGGAAGCCACTAAGTGACTGATTATTCAGGTTACATGGAGGTTTAGTCATAAAATTTATTAAAAAATGGTGGAAGTACTTCTTAAGCAATGGATACGTATGTGTGACCAACAGAAACCAAGGAAGTGGAGGGAGAGGCATGTTCTGCTAATTGCTTTCTAGTTATAAAACCAAACCATACTAAAAGGTTTGTCTTGAATTTCAGTTATTAGTTATTTACTTGTTTTGGCACCTTTGGCACCTACAGCCTTTAAAATCTTAAGAAAGGACTGAGTAAAAAGAAGCTGAAAATACCATAAAGTTTCCTCATTTTCTCTTCTCTAAGTAAGACAGGAACTAGTGGAACTGGGACCAAGCACTTAGGTGAGGTGCACCTTATGCCATCAGGTGTGCTTTATAATTTGCCAGAACAGCTCATTTCCAGAAATTTTGGAAGAAAATGTTCCACTTGCACGCTTGTATGTGTCCTAGCTGTTCCCAGATTTTGATACACAGCATCCTGTATGGAAGTTCTAAGGCCTCTTCCATTCGAACACAATTTATTTGGTTTGGGAATATTTGTCATGTGTGTAGCCAAGATAGGGTTTATCAGCTTTCCAGCCCTTACCCTTCATCTAAATAAGCTTTTCTGTGCAGTTTCCTGTATAGTAAGTATAAATTCAGGGCAGGAAGACAAGTGAATACTCTTTCTCTTATGGAGTTACTGATGCATGATATTAAATTGAACTTCTGATTTTCTGTATAAAAAGATATGTCTAAATGTAAAGTAAATATTTTATTTATTTTTATTTAATGTTAGTATAGTAATAGCTGTCTTTTCTAAAAACCTATTCTTAAAGGAAGGGATACTGTCCCCTCTAGATGTCTCTCTTTCTCTCCATTACATACAGACAGCTTGGGTGGCTATCACACTGGAGCTTAATTCCAAGACAGCTAAAATTAGGTGAGAAAAATTCTCTGACTAAGGTTCATGGGGGAGAACATTTTAACACTTTTTAATGTGCGGTTACTATTACTGAACAAATGGAACTACAAAAGACACACTAAATTCTCATAAAGCAAAACGATTGCAGCTCAGGCTTCTATTCAAACTCCCAGGACTCTGATACTGGAATAAATTGAGTATATTTTTCAATATTGTCATAAGAGAATCATTTGAGAGGAACTTAGTTTTGCAGGTTTATACAGAAATTCAAGCTCCATCTTATAAGGAGTCCTTTGAATGTTTCCTCTAATCTTAACATAGTTACCAAGAAGAGCATAAAAGACAACCAGGCCTTTTCTGGCTGTAGTGAGTTGGAAGAGGTAGTAGTGAGTCTGTATGAAGAGCTGGACATAACCTGGCCATAACCACAGTGTTTGTAGTCAAAACATAAGGCAATGATAGTCTCTTATCCTATTGTTGGTATAGTTTTCCACAGTATGAACACAGTAAATGAGGAAAAAAGGCAGGAACACGGACATCAGTGGCAGCAAGGAAGGTACCAGATTGACTGCTCTACTTTCTTTGTTCCAGAATTCCAGCAGTGCTTCGAAGAACTCCTCTTTCAGTTGTGACAAAGGATCACGGCAAGTATTTCTTTCATATTTTGCATAGTAGTGTCACATAATGCTGTGGTGGGTTTAGGTTTTGTTGTTTGTGGTTGTGATTTCTGTGAGTTCAGTCTTCAGTAAGACATGTCCTGCTAAGCATGGACCATTTTTACAGTCCCTGTCTGAGAAAACAACTGGGCATATTTACTGTGAGCTTACTTTTAACTTAATGACTGGAATCTTCTGATTATTCTATTAAGAAGGACAAGATAAGGTGCCTGGTTGTGCCCTTAACCTGGAAAAGAAGAAGTTAAACAGTGGTGTCTATTGCAGTTTGGGGACTAGTTTTGGATTCACTTCGGTGTTACTTAGAGCAGATTTCAAAATGGTATCTATCTGCAATCCGTTACAGATCACTGGTGAATCTACCAATTTGTAAAGCCTTTGCAGAATTCTACAGAAAGAGATTTGTGCAGACATAAGTACCTATATGTTTTCTATTTAACTCCCAAATTTGTTGCACTAGTGTTTGACAAAGTTGCCTGTATTCATTTTACTGCTTTTCTACATTATTGGTTGAAGAGATTTTTTTCGCTATAGTTTTGATGTGAAGAACTCTGATGTTTGGCTAACTCCATTTGTGCACTGAACTGAATAATTTGAGCTCTGTAGGCATTAATGAATTCTAATGAAAATATTGGAAACATCAGATGCTTGACTGTATGAGTCTAAGTTGCAGTTTCTTCTCATTAATACGCTATGTTTGTTCTCGGCTGCTTTGTGCTGAACTGCCACATCTAATTTCTTCACAGAAGTGCAGACTTTGATCACATTATGGAGGAAGGCTATGAACTAGACCTCACTTACATCACAGAGAGGATCATCGCTGTATCCTTCCCTGCTAGCTGTTCTGAGGAAACTTACCTCCACAACCTGCAAGATGTAACCCGAATGCTCAAATCCAAACATGGAGATAATTACTTGGTATGTGTAGGACCAGTCTTTTGAGATAAATCTTCTGTCCTGCAGGAAGACCACTTGTAGGTCCACATATACCATTATAAACCAGAAGTCGCTCATGTAAAGCCTCTTTGGCCCACCTTCACAGCTTTGCAAGCAAGAGCAAGATTTTCAGTAGTGTTTTAAGCTTACTGCCCTTGGCTTCACTTTCATCAGGCGCTGGTAGCTTGTAAGGCACAAGATAGTAATAGTTTGAAGGTGACCTGTATGTAAAGCTTTACTGGTTCAAATTCACCTCTTCTCAGTGGCCTTTCCCATGTGACGGCAGTGTTTTGGTATTTGTGAAATAAGCTTATAGTCTCAGTCCAGTTAAATCTCGCTAAATACCTGTTTGTATTACAAAAATCTGATACATGGTAAGTCTTGTTTAGACTGCCCTCTCTCTAAGTGGGATTGCAGTCAGTTTCTTTTGCAAAGTCTGGATCTGTGGGTTTTTTTGGTTTAGTTTTAGTTTTGTTCTATTTATTTCTTTATATTCTAATGAGTACTTTGGACATTGGCTGGCTTGGTAAAAAGAAAGTTTGATGCTGTTTGCTCCAAATATGTTTCTGCAAATTTGCAAGATAACCTGGCAAACCACAGCCAGGTTGTAGATCTAGAGAGCTCATTTTTAAACTATCTTTTGTTTCTCATGTTTCAAAGACCCCTTCAGTCTGCTCAAGAGGCACATGTATAGCAGTGGAAAAAAAAACCCAAACCCTAAAACTACCCCAAAAAGGTATGCAAGTGAGCAGTTCTGCTGAAGTTGATGAGAACAGTTTCGCACTTTCATTGGGTCAGGGTCTCAGCTAGCAGAACATATACTACAAATCAGCATTTGTAATTTCTTATCTAGCTGTTCTTCCTCCACATTTTTATATACGTTAAACTGTTGCCACTACAGTTGATAGTGAGGACAGAGAAGGGGAATGATATACCCAAAGAACTGGGTGACTGCATTGTTGCCTGTTTGAGTCTCAGCTTGTTACAAAGAGTATGAACAAAAAATCATAAGTACCTCATTTGCTCTAACAGTAGAGGATTATACTTTGACAGTCTAAGGCCAGAGTCCTTTATGGAGAGATGGAAGCTTGTCCATAGCTTACAGTAAATTTTTCTCTGCTTTGTTGTCCTAAAAAAAAAAGGTTTCCCAGAAGGCTTTGGTTCCTAGAAGAAACATGGCTTTTCTCCAACAGAGAAAAACTTCAAAACTGAATTTTTGTAGTATCTGTGTAGTACTTTCATCAGTTTATTCTGTTTGTATGTGTGTGGCCTTGGTCAGCAAGAGGGAAGTCACATTATGTTGAAAAATTCAAGATGATGTTACTCCAAAAGAATCCAGTGATGTGTCAAAATTCATGTAGAGTTGTAAAAGCCTGTTCTTTAAATGCTGATAGACTTTAGAAGTTGGCTGTTATAAAAAGCAAGCTTTTATGTCAAAAATAGCAAAAGACTTTTTCAATCATGGAATAGAATCATAGAATCATTTAGGTTGGAAAAGACCCTTAAGATCATTGAGTCCAACCATTAACCTAACACTACCGCATCCACTACTAAACCATGTCCCTAAGCACTACACCTGCACATCTTTTAAATACCTCCTGGGATGGTGACTCAACCATTTCCCTGGGCAGGCTGTTCCAATCCTTGACAAACCTTCCAGTGAAGAAATTTTTCCTGATATCCAATCTAAACCTCCCCTGTTGCAACTTCAGGTCATTCCCTCTTGTCCTTAAGTTATTATTGTTTTATATTAAACATGAATTAAGAATCTCTGGATTAGACAGAGAAAAGAAAGAAACGAGAGAGAGAAAATATTCCGTATTAGATTTGTTAAAAAATAGTTTTTAAAGTGGCCTAGAAACAGTAGTGCATTGATATGTTTGCTTTCATGCAGTGTATTTTCATTGACAGATTCTTTCTGCAACAACTGTTTATTTGAAAACTCAAACCTTTCATAGTAAGGAGATTTAATGAAGAATGAAACATCCTTTTATTCCCTAATAAAATTGTCTCTTGGTTACAAAGGAATGAATATGTTATTGCAAGATTCAAAGGCTTGTTTCCAAGTGAATGCTGTTTTACACCAGTGCTTTCAAAATACACACAGTGCAAACATCTGTCAGAAAGCAAAAAACAGTTTAAGTGACACAATCGCTGTGTCAACTGAAAAACTCGGTTTGCAAAAATAAATTCACCATTATGTTACCATTTTGATGAACTCCACCAGCACTATATTTGTCACGCTATTTTGACTAAAACGTTTGCCATGCATTGCACTTGTAGGAGAGGAGTAATGCTCAATTGTTCAGATATTTTGAGCTTTTAAACAAAAAAAAAATCCATTATAAGCTTGTCTGTTTGCTTGTCTGATTTTATGCTCATTTCTTAAAACTGAATGTTTTGGTGTTTAGAATAGATAAATATGTATGTTTTTTTTCAGTGTCTCTAACTGGTTTCATTGCAGTGTTTATTACTTACCATTGTCAAAGCAGTTCTCTCGATGTTGATTTAGAGCAATGATAAATGAGCAAGTTACCTTATTTCTGTCTGCTGCTGTATTAGTGTGCTCCAGTTACATTTTTGTATCCACAGTGACTGAAAGTTAATCGAGTTTTTTGAGGAGTGAACTATTCTAAATTAGCTCACTAGTTAGAGAGGTATCTACACAGGGGCATACAGAGCAGCTGATGAACAGTAACTCATGTCAAAGGCATTAGGAATCTGACAGTAAATACTGTTGTCTAAATTCATGGTCAGTTCTTTTAAAAAAGTGCTACATTTTTAAAAAAAAGATTTCAGTGGTTACACTGCAGTCTTAGCATATACATATTTGTTACTGGGTTAGACTAATATAACTGCTGTGCATTTTCTTGGTCTTGCATATGTAAATGATACGGTAATGCTTGTGTGTTGCTTCCTCTTTGCCCTGCTCTTTACTCAACACAAGGCTATCACTGCTTTCAGCAAGCAGGTTTGGTCCCACCTGGTAGAAGAGTTTTGCCTGCCTGCTCTCCCAGTCTCTTCTCCTTAATGGAATGGGCTGTAGGCTGGTGAATTGTTCCCCAGTCAGTACCTTGTGTTGTATGACCACAGTACCTCTTTTACTTTCCAAAATTGCCAGCTACGTGCTATTTGTTTCTGTTCTTTGGCATGAGATTTTGTATTTCTGGTCACCTGATTAAGGAGCAGACCAAATCTAAAACCCTTTAGTACCTTCATAAAGGTCTCTTCTCCAGCTAAAAGGTCTCCTCCAAACAATATATTGGAATAAAGACCATGTTTCTCATCATATAAAGATGTTTTATGCTTTCTTTTGGGGTTTGATGTCAAAGAAAGTGGTGTATACCCTTTATGGTCAATATCATATGTGATTCCAGAACCTTATGCGGCTTAACATAGAAGCTGTTTCCTTGGGTACCTTGTTAATTTGGAGGTTTCTTCTTTCTCTGGGTGAATTTCTTGTTCAAAAAGTGTACTTTTTCCTAGAGATGGTATAATGTCTTCCTGCTTCCACTGTGTCCATGATGGGGTTGCACATTCAACTTATTTAAGTGCCACATCAGGGAGCAGCAGGCACCAGCGAAACGATGTAGTTTCTTTAGCCTGTTCAGTTCTTGGCTTCTTTGCTGAGACTGCTGATGAGAGAGCTGGTGTGATGGGATGATACACTTTAGAAAAGATGGGATGATACACTTTAATAAAAAAAGGGGATGATACACTTTAGAAAAAAAAGGGGATGGTACACTTTAGAAAAGGGTTCTTAAATTGTCCTTGGGTAGTAGTAAATTGTATAATGGACTTATCTCTCATATTTACTGTTTCTCATATTTATGGTCTGTTTATTCCATTCTGGCAGTGTAATGAGACTTTTTTAAATTTTTATGAATGTCATCTATGCTTAACTCGTTGTGATGTGAAATAGCCACACTATGACAGAGAATCTGCCTCAGTAGCATTGTTTCAATTGTTGAGTATTGATATTTCAGCTTTTTGTTATTGATTGATATTGATTGAAAATACTTCCTAATGAAAGTCAGATATACTTGTACACACCGCTTTATTTTTATTTTTCTTTATGTTTATTTAGCAGTCTATCTCTTTAACTGTTCCTTATTAGGCACTAAGTGTATGATAACTTACTGTCTAATGGGTTGACAGAAGAGTTGGAAGATCTCACAGGCTAAGCTGTATTTAAATAGCTATGCCATATCTTCCCTGTGAAGTTTTGACAGACCAATATTTTCTTGCCAGGCACTCAAATTCAAATACTTAAAACCATACCACCCTCCCAGACTTTCCTTTGTTAATTCTTATGCTGTGCAGTTATTTTGCATGGTGCCCAGGTCTCTCAGTATACCTCTGACTAAAATAAAGCCATGTGAAATAAATAAAATGTAGCAGAATTTTAATTGTCCTTTTCCAAAATGTGCATTTAGTTTCATCTTTAGTTTCATCGTATAATAACTGAATACCTAAAATACATTTGCTAGTGCTACCTGACTTCAAATGTTAATTTAGTTTAGTAAAACAGTAGGCAAACCTGAAGCCTTACCACTGTAGTTTCTTGTAATTATCATTTGTTTCAAATACAGCTATTTACTACATAAATTATGGAGTCTTGATGGTTGATATTTTTTTCTTTCTTTCTGAATAGGTGTTAAACCTCTCTGAAAAGAGATATGACCTTGCCAAGCTTAACCCAAAGGTATTGGTTGTCTTCCATAACATACCTCTCTTTGTAGTGTTAAATACAACCTAACTGGCCTGATAAGCCCTGAAGCTATGCAAGCATTGATATACAGAGGAAGAGAACACCTTTTGGAAGATGATAAAAAAACCCCACATGCATGCCTTTTTATTTTTTCCCCAAGTTCTGGTTTGTGTCTGTTAGGTCTGTGCTTTACGTAGCCGTTCCTGTTGTTTTCTTAGACTTTGCACCCAGGGCCTGAATCCTGTTGTGACTACTGAAAAATTCCTATTGAGTGATATAAATTTTACTGCAAGTATACTTTCTTTGCGCAGTCACAGGATACTAGGGGTTATATACTGTAATGTACAGTCTGATAGCTGAAGCTAGTGAACTCTGTTCAGATATAGACTTCCCTTTTGTACTATCTTTTCATAGTTGCTTCTCTGCACAATAGAGACATAAAGAAGGGAGCTATTGATGTCTGTCCTTTGTTCTTCCTCATAAATTGTTGTATTTGTTTGTTGTAAAAAATGATATGCAGGTACTTTTCAGCAGCTACTATAAGGCTAGAGTAGCACAGAAGTATATTTATAGCAGCAAATTTACAGGGATATACACTACCTGAGGAAAAATATTAAAAGAACTCTTAATTTTGACCTTTTGAATGCTTTATTGATCATGAAGGATTTAAGTTGTTTATGGTTACTGGTTTTGTTATGGTTAAATATGCATATAATAATAATAGGTTGAGTAAACAGTATTATATAGTAACTAAAGTTGAATAGAAAATATGAACAAAATTTTGAGATGTCAAATCTGTTGCACATGAAGGAAATAAATTGCAAATTAAATAAAAAAAAACACAAAATACTGGACCAGACCAGTTAACATTCTTTATTCTAATTTTGACCTTCTAAATATTTTACCGTTACAAAATACCTGAATTTCTAATTGAAAATTCTTTAAGAAATCAAGAACTTCAGAAATGTTGTCACTTGTGAGTGGTTGGTGGGTTTGGGGGGGGAGGGGAAGTTGTTTGTTTGTTGATTTTTATAAAAGTACTAGTATCTTAAAAAACCCAAGCAAATCCCCTTCTTGCCCTTAAGAGACCTGTAAGCATATTTTAGTTACATCATGGCATTCTAATGACATGATTATCTGGGGTTGGAAAAAACGTGGAGACTCTTCACCATCATAATTATTTGAAGCCAGATTGTAATATGTAGCATTAGGGCCAAGGTGTCTCTTGTGAATGTTACTTGTTTAATTGCAGATTATGGATCTGGGGTGGCCTGATCTCCATGCTCCACCTCTTGATAAGGTGTGCACCATCTGCAAGGCTATGGAGTCATGGCTGAACAATGATCCTCAACATGTGGTGGTGATCCATTGCAGAGTAAGTGAGCTTTGTGTATATGCATCACCTATCAGTTTGTATTCATTTTCAAAAACCTTGTCCTTTATTGTTGCTCATTTTAAAAAGTAAAGAAAGAAGTTTGATCTGTTTTCGATGTTGGAAACAATGTGCCAAATCTTCAGTTGATTTAAGTAAGCTTAAATCCACTGACCTTGCATGCTTGTTACACATTGCTTTTTATGATAACTAAAGTTCTAGCCTCTGCTCTGGGTATAGCATGCAGTGATGTTAGTTTGCTTCCTTCAAAGGTCAGTGCTACTTCTGTGAGTGTATTTAGAAGATTGAGGTTTTTTCATCTCAATAGCAAACTCTTTAGAAGTTCTTCACATTCTGTGACATTCATGGATTTTGTTGCGGGATAAGGATAGGAAAGATATCACAGCTCATCCCTTATGGTTTTAGGAATTGAGGGCATTAAGCACCTCCTGGGTACTTCTGACAGGTTCTAACTGCCAGCATCATTGCAGTGCCTTACAGCAAAGCTATCATTGTGCAGTGTTAGTTCTTCTCCTTGCTTGCTCACAGTGAAGAGAAATAAAGAGAAGCCTCAATCGAATAGAGATAAAATGAATTCAGAACTGAGTTAGTAGCTGTGCTGGTGACACTCGAGGCAAAGCTGTCTCTGTATCACTGGCAGATGATACTCTAAACAGAATGAGGGTCATAATGGGACCAAAACTTCTCAAGTCAGATTGTATAGTCCCCAGTCCTGAACTGCTTGCAGGCAGAATGCCATGATTGTATGAAACACTATTGAATTCTTACTAGTTGCAGGACTGCAGCCAGGAGAATGGCCCACACCTGGGACAAAAGAAAAGGGGGCAAAGTATTCCTAGGTATTTTATATACAAATTGGTAATGTGTATTGTTGATTAATGCCTTTTGATAATGACTTTAAAGTTTCCAACCACAAAGAGAGATACAGCTACTTGTATCAGCTGAGAGACTGAAATTGTTTTGAAATCTGTGAGAATTACTGCTTGGTAAATTGTACTGGATTTACGTCGTGTAAATTATTCAATAAGATTTTGGAACATTTTTTAAATGTATAGAAAAATAAGTAGTAGTTGTTATAAATCTCAGGTGCTGAGGAGGTAAAAATGCCCAAACCTGTCAGAAACTCATATGATTTCCAAAATAGGTATTTTATAGCATTTCATGCCAGAAATTGCAACATTGTCTAGACTCGTCTTGAATGATCTCTGGAAAAAGTAATATAAAATTAGAATAGTTGATACAACGTTTGTACTACTGGTCAAGATTTTTTTTTTAAATAATTTCCTCTCAGTCAGTAAGACTTGACAGGCATGCACATAGAAATTGTACTTAGTGTTTTTATGTCACTTGTCAGTCAGCTTGCATAGACAGACAAGCTGCTGCCCATCATTACCACCTTTCCAACAGATGAATACATGAGCAAAAGGACTCTCTGAATCTCCTGTCTCAAAGTTTTGTTTAGTATGGGTCTTAAATAAAATAATGGCCAATAATGTAATAAATTAAGTAAGTTATCATTCTCTTTTTCCTGATACAGGGAGGAAAAGGAAGGATAGGTGTAGTCATATCATCATATATGCACTTCACCAATGTTTCTGCAAGGTAAGTTGTGAATAATGCATATTGTGTGTTTTTTTACAATTAAGGAAACATCAGAAAAAGATGCCTTTTAATTGTAGTACTGTTTGTCAGTTAAGGTTTGTCAGGTTTTCTCCTCAGAGTGTCTTGGGCCATGTCTTAAAACACCCTGCTTTCATGACAGAGATTTCTTTTGA